AGCACCAGCAGGGCTCTGGGTCCATCCCCATCCTTCAACTGTGCTTTGTGTGTGCTGCTGTGACCCAGAACGACATTAATGCATCTTTAGAGCCCAGCCAGGAACTGAAGTGCTCTCCTGCTCCCTGGAGAACACCAGAGTAAGAAAAGAACCCTCACTTTCCCCTCTGTTTTGATGGCCCAGACTGCTGATGTTAAATGTGGCTGTTTCTCCCCCCCAGCTGTTCTCTCTGCTGGGTTTTTCTGTCAGTACAGCTCCAGGGCAGCATTCCTGTAAGGATTCCCTCCTGTAAGGGTTCCATCCTGCCAGGAGTTGAAGAAAACAGGATTTTTTGTGGAGTGCTGGCAAATTGAAACAAACCAGACCAGGAGCAGGTAAATCAAGTACAGTGCAGACATTTTTATTCACATTAAACTTCTTACACTGGGAGTTCCTGCAGTGTAACAGAGTGCCTGGGAGGAAGAGGTGAGGATTGCAGAGCAGGGGTGGGCAGGGGCTGGGAATTCTTTACCTCAGCCCCAAAACTTGAGTTCAAGACAGATTTTTGTCCTAGGATGCCTTGATAGGGTAAAAGTCACACAGGGAGCACATACAGCATTTGAAGGTACCTGTGAAGGGATTTATTTTAAATATGTATTTTGGTGAAGAGGTTACACAGATAATGAACCAGTTCTCCTTCTGTGAAAAAGCAGTAGCACCTTCCTACTTCCTGGGAAGCATTTTTAAATATGTAATTCCAGTTGGATAATAAACAGAACTGCAATTCCTCGTCCTGCCCTCTCTCCTCCCCTGGCTCTGGTGATGATGGCATTTGCACACAGTAAATTCCTAGGATCTTTCTGGAGAGCTTTTTTGTGCTAATGATAATGAGGCTGGACTGTTCATTCGGCTGGAATTAAGCAAGGGACTCTTCAGCAGGACTGCACTGAGGCATTTAGGGATTTTGGAAATCACACCTTATGCTCCAAAACCTGTTTCTGGCATCAGCCATAATTCTAATCTTCTCTTTTCCCCCCATAATGGAAATTTTAAGATGGAAAACAATAATGAGCCTAATTTCTAGGGAAGTAGAAACCATCTGCTTTAGGACTTTTCTTGCCCTTTTTAGGAAAACATCTTTGATGAGCCCGGGTAAATCACAGAGCTCACAGGGTTCTCTGCAGCTTGGCTTCTGCACAGAAAACAAACTAGAAGACGCTCAAACATAAATGCCTGGGCAGCAAGACCTTGTTTCAGCCAAGAGTAATAATTTATTCATCCAGCAACGTATGTTCAACCCAAAAAATCTGGTTTTGAGGTCCCTGAGACAACTGGATGCTGATTTATGGCACAGGCAGGATTAGTGGATACCTGCCACGCTCCTGTACATGTTTGCTCAGTTGTGCCTGAGCCAGATGGACACAGGGGTCTTTAAGATGTTAAAAATTTAGATTTCCCAGTCGGGAAGTGGGTTTCAGTTGGCAAAACCTCCTCTACAGAGACAGACAGGGAGCAGTGCTCAGTGAAGTAAACCTTGACTAAAATAATAAGCTCCACATAATAAGCTCAAAAGGAGCACGTGTTGCAACAAGTGCTTCATCTGCCAAGACTTTTCTATAAGATAAAGTCCAGTTCTGCTACAAGGAAAGCTTTACCACTCTCTCAAACCAAACTGCTCCAAAAAAAAATCCATGTTTTTAATGGAAGATCCAGGTGAACTCTGAACCCAGTTTTGCCCAGGCTGCAGCGAGGAGCAGCCTTCCTGAGAAATTCACAGGAGGAGGTTTTCTGGGTATTTTTTTTCATTGCCCCCACTTGCATTTCACAGTTCCTGCCAGGATTTGTGTTCCTCAGCTGCCATGAGATCTGCTCAGCAGAGGCTGATCCCAGGCTGTTTGGGAACAGACGCCTTCCCGAGCTCCCGGCACAGACAGGAATGGCCACGTGTGCCATTCCAACCTGCACGTTCCCTTTGCTGAGGGAACATCCTCCCACCAGTCTGGATCAGAAACTCCCTGAGAATTCAGCCTGGATCCACCTGAGAGATTACACAAGGAACTGCTCCATCTGTTACGGAGGAGAACTTCATCTGATGTCTCTGGGCAGACAGGACCAGCATTCCTGGCTCCGAGATCCAAGTTTCACTGCAGACTTTAATCAGACCCAGTATTTTTCTGATTTTCCTCCTGTTTTCTCTAAAAGTTGGTGAGCTTCCTTAGCCCAGGAATAGCAAGGCAGCACGTTGTGTGCCAGGAGCTGCTTTGAACACGCGAGGCAGCACCCAAATATTAGCACAGAGACTCTTTAGCTGGTCACTCACTCACAACCCTCAGTTTTCCTGAACTTATCTCCCTAACCTAAGCTGCAAGTGCCAAAAAGAGCCCAAACCAACTTTTAGGGTAACTGGAAATCGAGTTCTGTTGTACCATTCTCACAAAACTGTCCCACTATTCAACTCTTTTCTCAGGATGTAGCTGGAAAGGTCACCTGTGGCATATAATTCCTGATAACTCAGCATATCCTTACAGAAAAAATAGTAAAAAAAAAAGCCTAGCACAAGTGCTGAGGGTTTTCCATGGGGTTTTGGAGTGGATCTAGTGCTCTGCTGCTGTCCAAGCTTTGGATTCCAGTGGCTGAGGAGTGGAGCTGAGCTCTAAGGCAACATCTAACACGGGTCAGAGCAGCTGCTGAGGTCTTTGCTAAAGGCTCAGGAAGAACTTTTCAGCACCAGTTGTGTAAAAAGGAATTTGGGAGGGAAGAGCAAACATAACTGGATCTCACATATCCCAAGAGGAGATAACCAGGAAACACAGAAGCAAAAACAGAAAATCAAGTAATTCCTTAGCAACGCTGTGAAACTGTCCTGGAGAGGAGAAAAAACTGTAAAGGGCCTTTAAACTGGGAAGAGGGAGTTTGGGGATTGGTTTTTCCAGGGAGAGCACCAAGGGCACAGTGAAGGAACGTGTCCTTTGGGACTCTGCCAGCCTCCTATGATTCACACCTCTCAAATAATCCACCACTTAACCTTCAGTAAGGGACAGGCACAGAAAAGATGGGAACAATGCTCATTCTGGATCCTGGATAAGACAAAACAACCCAAACCAAGGTGGCTGCACTGGCTGCAGGGACACAGATGGAAATACCCAAATGCACAGGTTTTGTCATGGGGAGATGTCCCAGTGCTGAGCTCAGCTGCTGCACCTCCAGCAAAATGTGTGTGAACAAACATTTCCAGTGGGAAACCCTTGTTTGGGAGCGTGAGGTTGCCTGAGGTTTGAGTCCTCCAGCACTGTGGATTTCCAGGTATGAGTAACACAGGAGAACAAACACAATTTATAGAGACAGAGAGGATCAGGGGGAGCAGAGTCACTTGAAGCCTGGGTTTGAAGCTTTGGTATTTTTGCAGCTTTTAGAACAGCTTTTCTGTGCTGTCACTACTGAGGCTGTGCAGGGGTGTGAGACTACACAGGCAGGGGAAGGATTTCAGGAGCTCTGCCACCCTGCCTGTCATTCCCTTGGGAAGGCAGAGGGAAGTTAAGCACATCATGTTCACAGCATGTGAAACATGAAGTGAAGGCTGCTGGGTCCCTCCATCCAATTTTAATTTATTATCATATAGATTGTTTCAGAACTGAGTCCTGGATCCCACCAGCACAGCTGCTTAAGGATTATCCTTGGGAAGTGCATTTGGTGGCAGGTGAGCTCTGTGTGCCTGATAAAGCACATCTGGATGGAGCAGCAGCCTGGCCACCAGGAGCTGCTGCACTTGAGATGTGACTCAGAGTGCCAGGTATTCCCAGGGCACCCACAGGAGAAATGTAACCTGGTGAGAAAGAACAGGAACAGCAGGAAGGAGGAGTTAACAATAACTGGACTTTAGCTTTAAGGCCCACGTGATTTCTAAGCAATAAACTCCTTTTTTATAATTGTTTACACCAATTATTTATTCAAACTAGCTTAAAAAAGAGATACTTTTAGGCCTGTCACATTCCTGTTCAATACAAGGACAACTTTGCCCTTGGGCAAGGTCTGTAAGTGCAGTCCCATGATTTTAAGTGGCCATAGGGAATGCCAGACCAATCAGCCTCACATCCCTGGAAGTGTTTTTGGAAGAGAGAAGTGAAATACAGCAGCAGGGCCATTGCTGGTGACAGCTTGTGTGTGTTTAGTTTTGTTTTGTTTCCAACTTGAGAATCCACAGCTTGGCCCAGTGTCAGGAAAGTGGGACCCAGGAAGGCTCAGTTCTCCACCTGGCAGATCCATGGCCTTTGGTGGCCCTGGCCACTGTGAGAGGCTGCAAAGTGACTTTGTTAATGGCCTTGGACCTATCAGACAGCTAAAGGTTTTTTAATTTATTTTTAATTTAGGAAGACTAAACCAGAACTCAGAGTCCTGTGCTACAGTTTATCAATAATAATAATAATAATAATAATCTGGATAGAAATACTTCCAGTCTTAAGAAGGTCCTGCACCAAGATAAAATGCTGAGAAGTCAAGGGAAGCTCAGGATGGGATGAGCTGCAGGAAAACACAGCAGTGACTGTATTTCTGCTCTGTACAACACAGAAGACTTTGCTCAGAGGGAAAGTTGAATACACACTGACAGCCAGCATTGTGTGCTGAGTCAGTGCAAGTACAACAGCTGCCAATTTTTATCCTTGCAGAGCATTCAGGATGGATTTTCCAACAGGAGAACATCCCTGACAGCAGCATGACAGCGTTACTGAGACAGATCACTCCACCCTGAGTGACAGACTCTCCTCCCCTCCATGCAGACACAAAGACTGACCTTAAACGACCTCCTACAAACTCTGGTGAGGCACAGGCTTGCCCAGACAGGCTGATGGCATTTAATCCAGTTTCTGAAAAATGGCTGTGAGAGCTATGCAGATACACCTGAAGTTCCTGAAGTGGCCAGAGACAAACCATGCTGGAAAGACACAAACCCCAAGGCTGGTGCTCTGCAGTTCGTGGTGTGTGACTATGAACAGGTAAAAAAACCAGAAGTATTTAACAAGGACACAGGGTTCTGCTTTTTTAATTTCAAAGGCCAGAGCAAAGAAACTCTTGGTGACCTAGTCAAAAAACCTCCAACATCAAACCCTAAAAAGGCCTCCTCACTTCAGTCTGACCTGGAAAATGCTGTTACAGCTTCTGAGCTTCCAGAGGGACCTTCCCTAATATATTAACCCTTCTGAATGGAGAGCAGGAAGACTGAAGAATTTGGCACAACCACTCTCAAACAACCAAAATCGAGTCTCCAGCACTCGAGAGCATTTCTGTAACACAGCAGCTGGAAGCCCCTGCTGTCAGCAGAGAAGGTATTTAGTGTACAGCAAACACTTTGGGGGCCACTTGGCAGGGAAGTAGAGCTGTCCCCCAAATAAAAACCCCGATTGTCTTCACTCCCACTTTCCCAAAAGCTAAGCACAGGCTGCTGGGGCTCAGTTACCCAGCATCACCTGCACAGCCTGCAGTAGGTACACTCTGCATCACATTTTGGGACCACTAGACCGTGGCTCCCTCTGGGGATTTCACCAGGCAAAAATTCCATCATCGCCCCAGGCAAGGGAAGGTTTGCAGTGTGCTGGGAGGAGATAAGCCACAAGCCTTTTATTTGGAATTTACCAGAGGCAAGGCAGGGCTGGGCACTGCTGTGCTCTCCCTGGGATCCGCAGGCAGGGAATTCTCCTGCTGCACTTCCCAGCACTACCAGACAAGATCCATTCTGAGCTACAAGCAGCAAACCTACACCAGCCAGGGATTTTGGTCTTTGCCTCCCTCTCCCCCTGCTCAGGACAAAGCCAATTTTCACATTAAATACTAAAACATCTGCACCCGCACGAGAAGTGTTCGAGTCACTGCCCAGTGACTGGAATGTGCCGACAGTTTATACCTGGAATTATTCTTTGGCTCTTTTTCAGTTACACCCAGAAAACACACCACACCCCGATTCTGTTCCTATGCCACCACTGCCTCAAATCCCAACCCACGGGTCTCAGACACCGTGCAGCACTGGAGAAGGAGGAGTTCCTGGTTTCCTACTGAGGATAGGCCTCGGAGTAGAGCAGTCCCTCGGCGGAGATGGCGTCCCCCAGCCCCACGGTCCGCACGGGGTCCTTGCACACCAGCACGGGGGTGAAGTGGAACGAGATGCCCTCCCTGTGCCAGTGCACCACGGGCTCGTCCGGGTTCAGGGAGATCTTGGCGGGAGCCTCCGTGTGGGAGGTGAGGAACTCGCGGGGGGCCTTGAGCAGGACCCTGCTGGTGTCGATGGTGTCGGTGGCGCAGGCCTGGGTGCCGGCGGCCCTGGCCCCGGCCGCCACCGCCGCCGCCTGGTTGCCCCAGTGCCCGTCCACGGTGGCCAGGATGTGGTAGGCCAGGGTGTGGAAGTGGATCCGCGTGAGGTCGGACGCCCGCTCCGCTGCCTTCCCGTGCTCCTTCAGGATCCAGAAGAGGATGTCGCTGACCACCCCCACGTCGGGAATCCCGCTCCAGGAGCCCAGGGAGGCGTGGGGGCCGGAGGCAGCCTGGGTGAGGAACAGCAGCTCCTGCTCGTTCAGCCCGATGGAGTTCACCAGGGGAAAGACCTGCTAACAGAAACACGGGAACCACGGGTTTGCCTTCACAGGGACAGTCGGATTTGGGATCCCTCCTTCAGGGTGTGGGTGTTACAGTAACCTGGTGTGCTCAGCACCCAGTTTCCCAGAGAGATGCAGCCCAAAGTCACTGCACTTCTCCAAGTTGGCAAGAATTACTCAGCCAAGGAAACATTCCAATTGGTGTAATTAATTTTCTAGACACACACTTTGACAAGAGTAACAAAACGTCAACTTCAGATGAAACACTCATAACACTGAAATCAGATCTGTGTCAGGATAAAAAAGGAACCACCAGGATCTGCAGGAAAGAACTCCTGCAAAGAAATCGGGGGGTTTTTTAAATTATAAACTCAGCTCAGATTCAATCTTTGAACAGATAGTCCTAATCTTAAATTTTCATTTCTATGCTCATATACCAGTGTGTGCACTGTGATACTGAACCTGACAAAAACAGCATGTCCTGTCATTTTCCTTACCTGATGCATAATGTTGCTCATAAAATCCTGATCAGTCATACTGGCCAGCTCCAGGTGAATGGGAATGTCAGTAGGGATATCGGAGATGGAGGCCACAGCCTACAGGAAAATAGAAAAAACAACACTAAAACATGTACTTATTAAGAAACAGAAGGAGGAAAAGGGTTTGGACTTGAAATACACATACTATAATCTTCCTGTGCATGGATTTAAACACAATTCCAAATGAGATGTCTGACCAGTGGATGTACTGCTAAGGGAGGAAATAAAAACAACTGCTAGTTTTCAGAATTCCAGAGCAGGAAAACTGTATCCAAGCCTACTCTGCACCCAGCTCAGCACCTTTCTAATGGACTAATTCCAAAACTTCATAAATCTGAAGGAACTGTAGAACAGCTGATCCTAGAACACAAAAAAAGGCCAGTGCCCTGCATCAGGACCAGAACTCAGTTGTAAAACAGGTGGTGCTTAAGGAATGCCAGTGTTGATTATAACCTGGATAATCTCGGTATCTGGGATAGAAAAGGTGTGATTTAGCCACTAGACAAGCCCAGAAACCAGGTCAGTGCTCTCCAGCCCTTCTTCTTCCTTAGACAACCCACTGAATCTAAGAAAAGTCACTGTTACAGAACTAGACTTTTGCCATTCCTGCAGTTCCCAGTCTCCTTTTAGCAGGAAACACTGGGATTTGTGGGAGAGCTGAAGGCAGAGCCCACTTACACCTTCCAACCTGGGAAAACAAGGCCTTGCCACGAAGCACTTGCTGGAGTGGAAAACTGGGAGACTCAGGTGTTCCAATATCTCACCTCCATCAGCCGTCTCTGTCGTGCCTCCTTGCTCTGCCCTTCCATCATGTGAAGTCCTGAAAGCACCACAAGGTCTGGCTGGAATTCATCCAAGCTGGACACAAACACTTCCAGCATGTTGAGGGCGCCGTTGGACAGGTCGTGGGAGAAGATGAAGCGGTTGGCAGTGGGTGCTCTCACCTTGCCCCACTCCTCACCTGGGGTGGAGCAAACAGAGGCAAGGAGGTGGAAACTGTTGTATTCCTGGGCGGGATCACAAGTTAAATGTGCTCCAGCAGCAGCCAGAAAACACATGGATTTGTTTCAGCACTACATGAGGGTTACTCTGGGTTTCACCTGCACGTGGTTAAATGGTCCCTTTGTGTTTTCAGGGACCATTTTAGTGTTTGTGCAGCTTTAGAATGACACCCATGAGGGCTGTGCATCAATCCCAGTGATGTCTGGGGTTCCCATCCAACACTCTGCCTTTGGGAAGGTACCTGCTTGATACTCCAAGATAAGATGGAATTCATCTCTTTCCTGCATGGATTCAGGTGGCACGACCACGTTGTCATCGAGCAGTTCGTGGAGTCTGGGGCCAACTGGGCCACAAAGGAGGATCTAGAAAACAGGAAAAAATAACTAAGGTTTCCCTGCCATGTCCCTTGCCAAAATGTAAGCATCACCTAGGCAATTTTTAAGAAGTTAATAATTCAATTTTTAAAAATCATCTGTGTTTTCAACTTGGAAGGCCAACCATATCGTTCCACCACAACCCAAGAAATAATTGCCAGATTCCCAAAATCTACAGGGAAGTAATTTGCTTGAGACAAGCAAATTAAAGAAGATAAGCAAACAGCATGAAATCTTTGGAGTGTGTGTGTACCTTCAGGTCTGGATTTGTCGCGAGCTTCTGCCCAATGAGAGCAGCGTTTCCTCCCACGTAGAGCTGTAAAACAAACAGAGCAGGGTGTGGGTCCCCTTGCTGGGGGACCTTTATACATGTTCAGTCCTCAGCACAGCCTGGAGATTCTGGGTTTTTAGAACACAGTCCAGCAGTACTCAAGTTACTAAAGCTTATTGGGGCTGAAGGCAAAACAACTTTACAGTCCTCTGTGAGAATCTCAACAACTTGAGTGTTCTCTTTTTGTTAAATCTAAATATTCGCCTTCAGGTAATGGCCATGTAGGAATCAATTAATTCATAACACTGACAGTGCTGAAGGAATCTACTCATTCAGCACATAAACAGCCCTCACTCCTGTCCAACTTCTCTGTGGCAGTGGGTGACCTGTGGGTTTTTAGCAAGGCTGCCAAGGAATCGTTTAAAAATTGCAACAGCTCTTCCTCCATTTTGAGGTTGAGGAGAATCCTGGTCCCTGTGCCCACATGGAGTGAGAGGAACCTTCCTACCTTTCTTCAGGTAAGAAAGGTCAAACTTCCCAGTGAGAAAACTGATGTGAGCTTTGAAACCAATGAATGTGGATTGTCATGAGGGTCACAGACACTCAGAGGAGGCCACGGAGCTGCTCCAAGGGCTCGAGCCCCTCTGCTCTGGAGCCAGGCTGGGGGAGCTGGGGGTGTTCACCTGGAGAAGAGAAGGCTCCAGGGAAACCTTAGAGCCCATTCCAGAGCCTAAAGGGGCTCCAAGGCAGCTGGAGTGGGACTTTGGATAAGGGCCTGGAGGGACAGAACAAGGGGAAATGGCTTCCTACTGCCAGAGAGCAGAGTTAGATGGGATACTGGGAAGGAATTGTTGGCTATGAGGGTGGTGAGGCCCTGGCCCAGGCTGGCCAGAGAAGCTGTAGCTGCCCCATCCCTGGAAGTGTTGAAGGTCAGGTTGGACAGGGCTTGGAGCAACCTGGGATAGTGGGAAGTGTCCCTGCCCATGGCAAGAGGTGGAACCAGATGGGCTTCAAGGTCCCTTCCAACCCAAACCATTCTGGGATTCTCTGCCAGAAAACAGGCCGTGGAAGAATCCAGCTGAAAATCAAGTGATTCCTTGCTCCCTGCCTCATTCCAAGGTGTTAGAGCCACTCTGACAGCTTCAGCCTCATCTGGCTCCCATATAACAATATTCTTAAAGAGGCATCTTTGACATTTAATTTTGGGAACGTCAGCAGGGGAGAGACAATTTAAAGCCCTCCTATTTGCAGCAGGGGCAGAATCCTGTGGAAAATCATTCACATGCTCAAGCTACACCACAAGTTCCCTTCCTAAAGGATTTGCTCTCTCACTAGAGGGAAAATGGAAGTCACTGGTGATCAGCAGGTAAGAACCACGCTTCCCCAGGCCTGTGCTGGGTGCAGCCCCACCTGTGCCGCAGGGTGCTCCGAGGCCGTCCGCGCGATGTCCCGGAACGCCGCGGTGTCGCTGAAGAACCGCTCGGCAGCCGCCCCTCGCTCCATGAAGTGGGTGAAGGCCTCCCCCAGGTCCTGCCTGGAGCTCAGCACCGCGTGGTTCTTCCCATCTCTCGGTTCCAGACCCAGCGCCTCCAGCAGCTTCACGCCGGACAGGACCACGTCCACACAGGCGTTGACGCTGGAAGAGACAAAGGAAAGGCGTCCTGGGAAAACCACACGGATCCGAGGGAACTGAGATTAGCTCGGCTGGTCAGAGCATCGTGGTGATAATGCCAAGGTCGTGGATTTGATCCCTGTGGAGACCATTCACTTAAGAGCTGGACTCGGTGATCCCTGTGGATCCCTTCCAACTGGGAATACTCTGACTCTGTCTTGAACCTGTGAGACAACACAGTGAGATCACGCCCCAGGCAGTGATGGCTGTTCAGGGAGAGAACAACCAACCAAATGGAAAAAAAACCCTCACAAAGGCACTGGAATTCCCTGAAATTCTCTCCTAAAGCCTTCTCCCTTTGACTTGCCTTTATTGCACTGCAGAGGAGAGGGGGGTTTCTCCCTTTCTGCTGAATTAAAACAAGGAAGAGTGAGCTGTGTGGTCCTAAGGTCCCTGAGTATGTTACAATACAGGTTTGCTTCATTTGCTGCCTTAGACTCACTCAAAAAAAGAACGGGCACAATAATCAAATGATTAATTTTTAATTCTTAGAAGCTTTTAAAAATGAATATCTTTTGGGTTTAAAATGTGCACGCGATTCAAAACTGTTAAAAACAAAGCAGAAAGTATTTAAGCCTGCTAGATCAGCCTCTTGAGTTTCAGCTGCTCCTAATAATACCCAAACCCACACACCAACTCCCTACACAGGCTGGTTCTGTTTATAAGAAGTCAAGAGAGCGATTTGTCACTTGAAATATTTGAAAACTGCAATTTCTAAAGGACGATCCCTAACTTCCAGAAATAGCATGCAGTGAAAGCAGGAGAAAAATCCTGCAATAGTTAGGGAGGGATAAGAACCATTTCAGCAGGTCCAGGCTTTATGGAAAACCTGTCTAACTTCCACTCCCTATTTCCTTATCAATTACATCAATTTAATCACAGCCTAGTTCAAACTAGAGAACAGGAAAGTTCTGCCTGGAACCAGACCTCCAGGAAGACAATTTGTGAACACTTGCCCTTGTTTCACCCTGTGGTTTCAGACAGATACCAACACACACCAAATATTTCCTGAGACGATACCAGCAATTATTTAAGCATCTTGTGGACCTGCTGTCAAGTGCCATTTCTATTCCTCTGCCCCACACTCCCCTGACAGGGATCCAAACCATCTACAAAACTTTTGCAGGATCTCTGACTTTCTCTGCGTCTCCCACCACGCTCCCAAGGCCAGTTCCTGCTCCATGTCAGTGTGGAGTGCCCAGCATCCAGCATTCCTCCTTGGCAGGGACCTCTCAAGGGCCACAACACGTGAAAGCTGCCTTGCACAAAATAAAGGACATGAAAAGCCCTGAGGCTTTCCAATCCACAAGGTAACCAGCCCAGAAATCCTCTGGATGTGCATCATCTCCTGCAGAGGAGAGAGAAATACCCTCGCACAGCAGGGAAAAGAAATTATAAGTTCAAGCAGCCTTTTAGCCCCAATTTTATGTTTTAATGGATCGTTAAAGATCCAAGGGGATGAAACCAAGTCACATTCCTCTGCCAGCACACAGCTCCACAGCCATGGGGGTGGATAACTCCTTCCAACACCTGAAGGCCGAATCTTCCAGTCAAAGTCAAGTTATCCTGCCAGTCTTTATATTTAAAAGGAAGTGAGTGAGGTGCTCTATATAATGTCCGGATTAATGGTCAGTCTTAAAACCAGCATTTGAAGTCAATGTGATATTCCTGAATTTTCCCCTTGTTTTCTTTCCACTTTAAAAAGAAGAACGTTGGATTTCCCTAGGCATGCACAGGTGCCTTCAACATCCACTGCCTTCTCCTCTCTCTGCTCCCTTCTCCACTTTATAAACTTGTCTCTGGTACTTATTTATTGCCAGCCTGAACTGGATGGGCCAGGAGCTCCAAGTCCCTCAGACTCTGGATGTAAGTTTGTTTTACAGGGGACAAGGTCTCTGGAGACAGGCTGCCAATGGGGCCTGAACCCCACAGCACAGGAGTGTTCTGGGTCATTCCTCCCTCAGTTGAGGTCCGATGGAGCAGTGCTGTGGGGAGGAGCTGCACTCTTGAGGAAATCATGGAATGGTTTGGACTGGAAGGTGTCCTTGAAGATCATCTGGTTCCATCCCCTGCCATGGGCAGGGACACCTTCCACTAGCCCAGGTTGCTCCAAGTCCCATCCAACCTGACCTTCAACACTTCCAGGGATGGGGCAGCCACAGCTGCTCTAGACAAACTGGGCCAGGGCCTCACCACCCTCACAGCCAACAATTCCTTCCCACTATCCCATCTATCCCTGCTCTCTGGCAGTGGGAAACCATTCCCTCTTGTTCTGTCCCTCCAGGCCCTTGTCCAAAGTCCCTCTCCAGCTCTCTTGGAGCCCCTTTAGGCTCTGGAAGGGGCTCTAAGGTCTCCCTGGAGCCTTCTCTTCTCCAGGTGAACACCCCCAGCTCCCCCAGCCTGTGTCCAGAGCAGAGGGGCTCCAGCCCTCAGATCATCTCTGTGGCCTCCTCTGGACTCATTCCAGCAGCTCCACATCCTTCTTATGCTGGTGCCCCAGAGCTGGAGGCAACACTGCAGGGGGAGTCTCACCTGAGTGGGGCAGATACACCCCAGGTACATCCCTACCCGTGCAGAGGCCCCGACACATCCATCCCCGCACACAGATCCATCCCCGCACTCATCCACGTACATCCACACACCGGGATCCGGGGATGCCCGTCCCGCCCCGCCGCCGGGGGGCGCTCCCCGCGCGCTCCCGCACCTACCCGACGGCGACGCGCGCCCAGCCGCGCGCGGGGCGGACAATGGCCGCCTGCCAGGCCGCCACCGTGCGCGCCTCCAGCGAGCGGGCGCGGCGCAGCGTCCCCAGCAGCGAGGCCGAGAGCTGCCGCAGGGCCGCGGGGGGCAGCTCGGGGCCCAGCACGCACAGGTAGCCCAGAGCCAGGGCCAGCAGGCCCACGCACACCGAGCGCTGCCACATCGCCCCGCTCCGCTCCTCCTGCTCCCCCGCCGCGGCTGAGGCGGGGCCCCGCCGGCGGGGGCCTCCTTACGCCGCCTCCGGAGCGCCCCGCCCCCGCCGGCCGCCGGCTGGCGTAACCCGCTTCGGGAATCGCGGCGCGCCGCTCCGCCTGCGCCACCTGCGTACGGCCCGGCGGGGCGGCTGCGCAACCTGCGTAACCCCG